ATACAATCTTTCCAAATTTGGTCAAATAGAGATTGCAAGTTGGGTCTTGACCCAAAGTTCAAGCCATCGCTGATGAGGTTGAAACTTCATTTACTTGCTCATTTCCTTGATATATATTATTTATAACAAGCAAGCCAAAGACAACAAGGACTACATTTTTCCAAGAGGTCTGCCTAAGGGCAGTATCTAAAAATCATGTGTAGAGGGCAGTCCTCTGAAAAAATAGCAAAAGGTTGAGGGAAATATCATGTTATAAAATAGCTGAGACAAACTCGCAAGCAGGACTTTCCAAGGCTCTTCTTACTAATGATAGAATAGAATAGAATAGAAATCTGAGTTGGAAGGCACCTTGGGGGTCTTCTAGTCCAATCCCCTGCTTAGGCAGGAAACCCTATACCATTTCAGACAAATGGCTGTCCAGTCTCTTCTTAAAAACTTCCAGTATTGGAGCATTCACAACTTCTGGAGGCAAGCTGTTCCACTGATTAATTGTTCTAACTATCAGGAAATTTCTCCTTAGTTCTAAGTTGCTTCTCTCCTTGATTAGTTTCCATCCATTGCTTCTTATCCTGCCCTCAGGTGCTTTGGAGAATAGCTTGACTCCCTCGTCTTTGTGGCAACCCTTGAGATATTGGAACACTGCTATCATGTCACCCCTCGTCCTTCTCTTCATTAAACTAGACATACCCAATTACAGATCTTTATAGGTTTTAGCCTCCAGTCCCCTGATCATCTTTGTTGCTTTTCTCTGCACTCTTTCTAGTCTCAATCTTTTTTACATTGTGGTGACCAAAACTGGATGCAGTATTCCAAGTGTAGCCTTACCAAGGCATTGTAAAGTGGTATTAACACTTCACGTGATCTTAATTCTATCCCGCTGTTAATGCAACCTAGAACTGTGTTGGCTTTTTTGGCAATTTAATTGGTAAATTGCCAATTAAACAAATAATGTTTAATTGCCCAGTTTCATCTCTTCTACGTAGCTGGTAACACCATACAAACAGATATTCCATTTCATGTGTTTTTTCACTGTATCCTTTTTCACTAAAGATTTGAGAGTCTGCACTTGATTCTTTGTCTTGAAGGTAAACAAGAGTTTTGAAGAATCTATTTTTACAAAGCCGATGCAATCCAGATAACAGTCAAGATTCTCCATTGCTGCTATTTACATTTTTAAAAGTCTTGTTAATAACATTTGCACATTTAACATTGTGTGTTGATGGCCCATTTCCTCTTAGAATTTACCCTACATTACAAGCTGCTTATGTTTTATTTTGAAAACTGAACACAAACTATTGAGCTGGCTTAGCCTAGTTTTGTGGACTGTAACCATTTCAGATCAGTCAATTGTAGAAGAGGTTAAATATGAATTAGTCATGTAAGTAGCCTTCTTGTTTTTGTTGCTGGCGGTAAGAATATCAGTATTTGTTTAAACTATTTGGAGAAGTAGGACGTGGTGGACTATTCTTGCTTAATTTTCATGTACATGTTTGAATTATCAATCTATCTCATTGCACAAAGCTACCTACTGTAAATCTTGATTTTAGCATATGTTTATTTTAGAATTTAGCATATTTAGCACACATGGCTTTGAGTTCTTGTAGTTTTCTTGGCAAGATTTCAGAAGTGGTTTGCCATTGCCTTCTTCCTAGGGCTGAGAGAGAGTGACTGGCCCAAGATTATCCAGAAAATTAGGAAGAATGGTTACAGGAATTGGGTCTGTGTAGTTTAATAAAAAGGTCATAGTAGCAGTGTTCTAATATCTAAGGGGCTGCCACAAAGAAGAGCAGGTCAACCTATCCTTAAAAGCACCTGAAGGCAGAACAATAAGCAATGGATGGAAATTAAACAAGGAGAGAACCAACCTAGAACTAAGGAGTGTGAGAACAATTAATCAGTGGAACAACTTGCCTCCAAAAGTTGTGATGCTCTATTACTACAGGTTTTTAAGAATAAATTGGACAACCATTTGTCTGAAATAGCAATATCACTTAGACCAGGGATCTTCAAACTTGGCCCTTTTATGGCTTGTGGACTCGAACTCCCAGAATTCCTCAGCCAGGCACGCTGGCTGAGGAATTCTGGGAGTTGAAGTCCACAAGTCATAAAAGGGCCAAGTTTGAAGACCCCTGCGCTATTGGATCCCAACAACAGTACAAAGAATAGCCATAGGATCAACTTGAATGCAGATGGTCAAGAGAAAGTAGCAACAGGCCTCTGTGCCTAAGGAATGTTAGGAGCTGGAGCTGAGCTGCAAAAATCCAGAAAACCAACTGTTGGATGGCAGCCACGTTTTATATTTCTCTTTACTACCATTTACTGATTTCCCAGATATTCCCTAAGAAAGTTAGAAGCTAAATTTTGTTGCAAATAGAAAAAGGAGCCGAACCTAACTGTAAGGATCATCTGCATTCTTAATAAATTAATAATTGTAATAGCAAATATTTGGCTTTGTTTTGAAAAGGAGTCTTTTTTAATTAAAAGCACAAGGGTTGAGGGCTGCCATACACATTTCTATTATTTGTTCACGGTGTTATTTAATCTTCTGGGCTGTGCGGGTTTGGTGCTGCCCGTTTGTGATTGTAGAGAACCAACCTAGAACTAAAGAGAAATTTCCTGACACTGAGAACAATTAATCAGTGGAACAAGTTGCTTCCAGAAGTTGTTCATCTCTGTAGGTTTTCAAGAAGAGATTGGACAGCCATTTGTCTGGAATGGCATAGAGTCTTCTGCCATGGGCAGCAATTGGACTAGAACAAGGTCCTTCTGACTCTATTATCCTATGTTCTAAGAGAAGGAGCAGAGCCAAAGACAGAAGGACAGTCCAGAGAATAATTGGGAACGTTAGCAAGAGTTAAGTACTTGTGCTTTCGTATTGAAGTGTACAGGCTTTTTAATTCAGTGATGACAGTCTGTTTCTTTTCATTCTCACTGGTCAGGGGTCATCAATCTGCCAAAGGAGAGAGCCTGCATCATAGACAAGCACAAATAATTTGTCACAGTGGAGGCAATTGTCAGATTAAATAGTATTAACCCAGTCAAGGTTCAGCATGCAATTGGAAGACGGTAGCAGAGTTAAGCTCAATTGTACGTCTATTTTTCCCCGAACAGAAGAACTATCCAGGATCATTGCCTAGATGGACGATTTTCTCTGAAAACAGACATTTGGGTTTTGAGGAGGAAAGTCCAGGTATAACTTGAGTTCAGAGACTCTGCTTATTTATTCAAGGCTTTTAACAGAGTGTAGCTGAATCAAGAAACTGCTCTACCTAGAGCGAAAACAGAGAAATTAAGAGATTTGGGGAAAATTTTAGCTGAAGGCACACTGTACATCAGATTAAATTAACAGGACACTTAAAATGCATTCCAATGTACAGGTTTTCCTACACCACTTCTCTGTTTTTGTTGAGTTGGCCTGAAAGTGTGATGACTAATAAAGGGTGAACCAAATTGTCTCTCATGATTTTCTGCTCTATGTATAATGTTGTAGAGGCATTTGTGGGGAAAAAAATGCTGTTGGTTACAGCCCAGTCAAACCTTGCCTAGGAAAAGAGTACCTGGAAAGCTATATAGGGTGATAGACAGCAATCTCATCAATTTGCCTTCTGATAACTGGGTGTTTTTGTCCCTCACAAACATCCATTCAAGGGCCAGATTAGTACACTTCAGAAGAAAATGGAAGCATTCAGATTTATAGCAGGTGGCAGAACTAAGTGACCTTGGCTGATGTTGAAAACCTAAGCAGGTGAAACCCAGGAAAGATGACTGGGTTATAGCGTAGATTGGAAAGTTGAAAAAAAGAATTCTTGAAAGGCCTAATTTTCAGATTATTTCTGTATTGTTAAACACAACTCTACACTAGGCTGTGTGAGGCTGACTTGAGACTTTATGATACCGGAGGGCATCACCCAGCCAGTTATAACTTATCTTAAAAAATTTTTTAAAAAAAAGAACATTGCAACTGTCATACATACATGCCAGTTGCCAAGCACCAGAATGTTGATCACGTGACCGTGGGGATGCTGCAATGGTACTGTGAAAACCGATCATGTCACTTTTTTCAGTGTCATTGTAACTTTGATCGGTCACTAAAGAAATGGTTGTTAAGTCGAGGAAGACCTATACAGGCAATCCCCAAGTTGCGAATGTTCCCTTAGTGAAAGTTCGAAGTTACACAATAAGTGCCCCCTAGTACTTACGAGCAAGTCCCGAAATTATGAATGTTGCCACACGGCAGTCGTTCACCCTTACGAATGACCGCAGTGGCACTGCAACATTCACCCTGGTTATTCCCTCCCTCCCCAGCCCCGCACCAGGCGTTCAATACTCACTCCGCGAAGATCGAGATCCTTTGCTTTCTTGGCTGCTCCAGGCCTTTGGTGCGTTCACAGAGAATGGAGGCCTAAAGTAACGCAAGATCATGTGAGATCAGTGGCGTGATCTCATGTGATCTCATGTTACTTTAGGCTTTTGTTCTCTGCAACAGAGAACGGAACCGAAGCCGGGGGACACTTCCACGTGCCTCCAGAGACTTGATCTGGGCGTCGGGAGGCTTTTCCCAAGCTGCTGCTGCTGCTGCTGCCTGGATCTGAGGCTGGGGGGATGCTTCCGCGTGCCTCCAGAGGCTGGATGCCGTCGGAGGCCTTTTCCAGGCCGCTGCTGCCCGGATCTGGGGCCGGGGGATGCTTCCGCATGCCTCCGGAGGCTGGATGCAGCTGTCGGAAGCCTTTTCTTCGGTCGAGGTATGAGATTCACTCCAAGTTTTCGAGTTATGAATGGAATGGGCAGGTTCCGTTCCATTTGTAACTCGAGGACTACCTGCATTTGTGTTTCAATGAAATATGTTAATCCTGGTCTTTATTCTGTTTTTTGTCTCATTTTTATTTTTAAATCTTGCTTTGTAATGAAAAGTGGTATTGAAATACTTTTAATAATGTATAAATTATATAAATAATATATAAATTCTACTTTTATTTGAACAGAAAAAAATAACAACATAATTTACATAGTGTGCTCCAATGTTTTCAATAGCCAATAAAGGACATTCGGAACCTTAAAACGTAGCTGCATTTGCTTTCTTTTATTAGAAAAAATACTCCAGCAAAGTCTACAATCATCTGTCAATTATGAATGGCATACAAGAGATTCATGAAACAATAAGAGTTTAAAAAAAAATACAAATACAAACTATATCTGAAAACACCTATTTGGCAATGTTATACTTCTTAAAGAAAGAGAACCCAAGCAGTTAAATGACCATTTAATGAAGATAAAGCAGTAACTGAAGTGCTTAAGCAAAATTAAAAACAAAAAGACGAAACAAATGGCATCTGTTTTAAATAGTTACATTGCCACAGATCTTTATGAAATACCATTGTCAAACAACTACAGTATTCCAGAACCGTTCCAGGTCAGCAGTGCTTCTAATCTGCACAATAATAAAATTTAAATGTTTGTGAAAACATTCTAAATCCACCAGGAACTAAACAAGGATTTTACCTTCATTAAGGCAGCTCTCCTTATACAATTTGGGGGGGGGGGGGGAAAACCACCCCAACTTCCATCTCCCAAAACTTTAGACTAATTAATTTATCTGCTGTTTAATTAAAAAAAATAGTGTAAAAATGTTGCTGTAGTAATGCAAAAAAAAAAAAAACACCAATAAAATAAAATAAAAATAAAATTAAAAAAAAATCCTCCTAAACAGGGAGGGTTAATCATGCAGTCTGACTGCATATAGCCACCTTATTAAGTCATTTATTTTACATTTGTTCCTTCCAACAAGCAAGGAAAAAGATTGATTCCATATCCATGTTCAGCAATGAGGTGCTGTAAATCTTCTATGGATATTCTGTATCCTTCAAAGATTTCTGAAAGGATATTTAACGTGTTTTGTTCTTATAACAGTAGTATAGAGTCTCTTAGAAATCCAAGAGACATATTATTGTTAAGAAAGGTGCTTGCTTTAAACAAATTCTGGCAGCGCTAATGACATAACAATATCCTTCAATATTATTTCTACCATAATATATACATTTTAACTTCCATGCCTCTAGGAAAAAACATCTACATTTTGTGATATAAAAATATATTACAAATCTGCAAAACTATTTACAAGCAACATCCCATTCTCTATATGCAACTTTTTTTTTTGTCTCAATACAAGACAAACAAGGTACACAAGTTTTCTATTCCTGTAGGGTTAAAAAAAATCCGTAATTCCTTGTTTAATAAAGTGAGGAAGCAATTTAATTCTTTTCATAGCCAACTTTGGTGCATAAACGATTGTATTTTTAAATGCTTCTTTTTAAAAAATACTTTCTTTTTTTTTTTTTTTTTTTGGACAAACAGAAACATTTAGGCCAAAAGAAGGGAAAGGGAGACAATATAATCTTTAAAAGCCAGCTGGAGTTTTAAAAGCCAAATAGAATATAAAACCAATGTTGTTTCTTTCTTTCTTTTTATAGATATTATTATAGTCTGATTAATATACAGTAATATCTTATGAAGAGGATTGGATATACAGCAACACGTAACACTGATCAACCTCCCCTGAATATATATATTTATATTCTGCTAAAAATCAAAAAATGCCACCACCATTTTGCTTAAACATGATACCACCACTTAAGGTTATGTGATTGGACACAAGTTCACTAAAGTGACAATGGAGACGCTTCGCCAAGAATTCTCTCTAGCTGTTGCTTATCAGTGATGAGATTTCAAGAGTTTGCTAACAAAACAAAACAAAACAAGTTAAAAACATGAGTAACAACGGCCAGGATGGTTTTCACCTGGGCAATTCAGCGATTGCCAGTTCATCCAATACAACTTTCAAAAAAGTCACTGAAAAGAAAAAAACATTGGTGACGCATGCTAGAGAAGCTTTTGCTTCACCTCTCACTGTACCATCCATTAAGGTATGTTAGACATTTATATATAATATATTCCCATAGATGCTTCAACTTCATTCACAGAATGGTTAGACCAATCATAGGCTGGCAGCAGTTGGGCACAGAGGGGATGGGTGTGCCTTGTCTGTGTGTGTTATGTGTGTCAGTGGATGAAGGTAAAGGACTCAAGGAATGTGCAATTCTAATTCCATGGTCAGTGCCCCCACCAAGTCGACTTTTACCTCTTCAATCTCTTCTGTGGCATTGTTCTAGAAGGAAAAGGAAACACAAGCGTTGGTGGGTTCTCAAGGAAGTTTAACTTGCCCTGGTTAACAGGTTCTCCCTGTTGGGAATTAAGACAGCATTACGGAAAAATAGTTCTACTGTCAGGAAAGAGGGTGGTGTGTTTTCTGAGGAGACGACCCGGTTGAAGTCAGTGGGAAAAAGTTAAGTATTCAAAACATCTGGAAGCAGAAGGAATGCCATGTTTCTGTTTATTCTTCAGATACTGATATGGATGGTAACTATGCGATAATATCTTTCAGAAAAGAGGGGAAAGGACCCAACAGAAAATATTCATAATAATCAAAAACAGACTCACATTGCTCACTTCACACACAAAAAAAAGATTAATTAAGCTTTTCATCTTTCTCACACTGAGGCCGAGGCCGGTATGAAGTTTCAAAGCTGTATTCATCGCAATATTTTCCATTATTTCTGATGGGAACATCTGCCTTGTTCCCACTTGTACCTCTGACCAAGACTGCAATTGCCAAAAAGTCTTTTGTGTATATCCTCAAAGCTTCATATATTTAATTTAAGAAACAGATTAAAAAGGAGAGGGTTTCAGAAAGTGGTGCCAGGTCTGAACTATGACTTTACATTATTGCAATTGTACATAATTGAAGGCCCAAGAAAATGTTAAGGGCCACATAGCTGTTTTATAATTAATATTGCAAATTTAGCCATTATGATTACATCCGTTAAATAATATCTTTTAACAGCATATATTTCCTCAAAATTTAAATGGATTAATCTCAAGTATGAGAAGTAAAAGGTAAGCTAAAAGGGACTCAGATGAGCCTATAGTATACATTTCTATAAACACACTGCTGTGTATATAGATGTCAGGATGAGGATGATTAGCCTCCATTCACTTAACAACAATTCCACAGTGTTATGGGCCCACATCTCTCCTATCTCTGCAACCTGAGATAGTCCTTGATTTACAACCAGAATTGGGACTAGAATTTTTGTGGCTAAGCAAGGTGGTTGCTAAGTGAATTGCAGCTGATTTTACAAGCTTTTTTTGCCGTGGTTGCTAAGCAAATCACTGCAGTTATTAAATGAATCACGTGGTTGTTAAGCGAATCTGGCTTCCCTGTTGACTTTGCTTGTTGGAAGCTGAACGGCAAGGTCACAAATGGTGTTTGTGTGACCCCAGGACCCTGCAACTGATATAAATACATGCCAGTTGCCAAGTGCCTGAATTTTGGTCAAGTGACCGTGGAGATCCTGCGATGGTTGTAAATGCAAGGACAGGTCCCTTTTTTTCAGTGCTATTCTACAGTCAAATGGTCGCTAAATGAATGACTGTTAAGTCAAGGACTACCGGTAACAGCACTTGTTAGGCACTAGAGCAGGGGTCTTCAAACTTGGCCCTTTTATGACTTGTGGACTTCAACTCCCAGCGTGCCTGGCTGAGGAATTCTGGGAGTTGAAGTCCACAAGTCATAAAAGTGCCAAGTTTGAAGACCCCTGCTCTAGAACCTGGAGCTTCTAACATTTAAAAGACCCAATGGCAGCAAAATATTAGTTAAAACTTTGACGATAAATCATAAATCAGTTCTTTTCAGATTACCTTTGGAGGAAAAAAGTACAGAAGATATAGTTATGGACACTTATAGAGTCTATGGAAAGTCTCAATCATCCAGGTCATGGTTGTCCCAAAGATGCTTTGCCAAAAAGCAACTGGACTTTCTTGGTTTTTTTCCTTGAAAACATTTCATTTCTCATCCAACATCTCTGAAGTTGAACTGAAGAAGCTTCTTGGATGAGAAGCGAAATGTTTTCAAGGAAAAAAAAACACCCCAAGAAAGTCCAGGTGCCTTTTGGAAATGCAACTTTGGAATGACATTTACAGTGTTTTCACAAAATCATACTTATGAAAAAAAAATATAGAATCTAACTGTATAGTAAAGTTCAAAAGTAAATTATGGTATGTCCCCATCCTAACCCCAAAATGAAAAGAAAAGAGGCATTTAATTTGTTTAAATGGCACGGAGCACTAAGATCTTAAAGTAATACTACATGTATTACAGGCTGAACAGAATGTGATTTTTTTTTTTTTAAAAAAAAAGATAAATTTGGACTTTAAAAAAAATTGGTATACAAACCAGCATGTGATCTTAAGAGAAGTGATCTTTCAGGATTCCACTGAATGTACCTCCTTTACTAGACTTTCTGTACACCAAGCACAAAAAAGTAAAATACACTTGGTAAATACACATATTTACCAGGCAGAGTTTTAAGTTCAAAAGCAGTCATGTGACCTCAGGCCTTGAAAATTAACTTCTGGATGCTGTCAAAATAATGAAATGTTTTTTCCCTCTAACATCTGCCAAAAATATTAGTTAAGGTGAATTATCAAGGAGGAATAAGTACTGACTATTTTGGCTACCTGAACTGATAGCAGCTCTGGTACAGCTTCAAAAAGTTACGCAAGGCATCAAGTCACATTGAGCAAAGAGAACATCCAGAAATGCGCAGATTTACCTGTATATGTTTGGGTCCAGAAGCAAAGCAGTATCTTTTGGTAGTTTTGATAAATGAACTACTTTAGTTTTTAATTGATGCCTTTCACTTTCATTTACCCACACATCAGGAAGACTATGAATAAAATAAAATATTCAAGAAAGGTCAGTGATTCGCTCTCCATCATCACTACTGGTAAAAGAGCTGCTGTCAATTCTTATGGGAAATAAAGTCCACATCAATGTTGCACTGCCAAAAAAAGATTTACCTGGAAATCTGCTTCTATGTGAACATCACAATCAGCTTAAATGTTATTGGAGTGTAATTCCAAAACTTTTGTTACAGGACGAGGCTCCCCCCCCAAATACAAAGGGCTCTACCTCTTTCAGAAAGCAACATTTTATTTCTACCACATTAGCTATGATAATTGGGATATGAGACTTGCCCAAATTAAACTAAACATCTGTAGGCACAAAATTATATGCCACCTTCTAGAAGCTCTACATCAGGGGTAGTCAACCTTGGCTCTTTTATGACTCGTGGACTTCAACTCCCAGAATTCCTGAGCCAGCTAAGCTGGCTCAGGAATTCTGGGAATTGAAGTCCACGAGTCATAAAAGAGCCAAGGTTGACTACCCCTGCTCTACATGATTTGTCAATAGCTCAAACTCTCTATGTGAAGTGATAACAAGGATTTTAGTTTGGCTCTGAGGATAGCACTCTCAACAAGGTAAAGGAGCCCCCGTGGATTTTACTCTGCTAGTTGTAACCGACTTTTTTTGGGGGGGGGGGGGTTGCTCATCTTTGTTTCAAGGCCATTGAGCCAGTGCTATCCGAAGTCATTTCCATGGTCATGTAGCTGGCATGACATCATGGAGTGCTGTTACCTTCCCATCAAAATGGTGTCTATGTATTTGCATTTACAACTGCTAGGTTGGCAGGGGCTGGAGCAAGGATGGGAACTCACTCCGTTGTGTGGTGCTCGGGTCTCAAACCTGGGCTATCAGCTTTCCAGCTGACAAGTTCAGGGCTCTTGACCGTTGAGCACAATGGGCTGCACCCTAAAAGAGGCCAAGATGCAAGAACTTGAATTCCTCAAACCTTCTTAGGGGGTGTAGGCTCCTACAGGTTCAGTGTTGCTACATCTGAACAGGAAAGAAGTCTATCTACTGGGAGCTTTTCAAAATCTCACGTAAGTAGCATTAATTACAATGATTAATATTATTATTCAAAACAATGGCGCCCCCAGGCAGTGACTTTATTTAAATCTCCATGCATCAGCTCTTCAAATCTAACTAAAAGGTAAATTTTAAATACACTCTGGTTAGTGGAAAACCTAGAACCTGTTTCAATTTGGAAACTGAACTACAATTGTCTACTTTTGAAAAGTTAATGGCAAATATTTGGAAGACATTTTCTACAGACTTATTTTGGCCAATTTTAAGGAGCTTTCCAGAATTTAATTGAGAGATGGACATTTCATCCTGTCCACTGAATTGAGTTAAATTGAATTAAAATTAAAACAGAATTATGCCTCTTGAAAATGATAGGAAAACGTGAGATACATGTTCTATATGTGAACATATGCTTAGAAATTGCTAATTTCTGATACCCTGTACTTTTTGTTTATTGAAAAAGCTAATTAAACTTCAAATAAGCTTTGCTGATTTTAATATTGGTAATGAACATATTTCCATAATGATTTCAAAACGCTTTTAGCAACTGCTTCCATGGTGTTAACAAAGTAACAAATGCTTGCAGTCTTTAGAAAAGTTGACACACCATATCCATCTTCAATGAAAAAACTAAAGAAAATCCAACAATATATACTGTATTTACTGATTATACAAATAAGGATATTTCTGCTATCGCCCGTCTTTTCTGTTTAGTTTTGGAAAAGTGCTAATTAACATAGGGCAAAAGCATATACCTTCTTTCCAATATGTTTAAACACCTCGAACAAAAATTAACTCAGGCTATGAATGTCTTCAGCATTGTAATAAGAGTCAAAGTCACTTTCCATTTTGTCTTCCTAATGAATATTACTTTTTCTTAATGTAGTCTCAAATGCATGAATTAACTTGGTAAATTTAATTTTCCATCACAGTTTTATAACAGTCCTGTAAGCCTGAGTCACACGAAACTCTTCTGTTCAGTATGTTGTAAATTCTGTGTATGCTGTGTGAAATATAGGAAATATCCTAATTTTTGCAGGTGCCCAAATTATGTACTACTGAGTATAAATACTTACATATCTTCTGGAGTCCAGTGAAGCAGCAACTTAACTTTTCCAGAGTCCTCTTTTCTTTTAGCTATTACCTAAAAGCAAACATGAGAAAAGTGACTTGAAATATTTATGTTCTTTCTTGAATTCCCTGTCCTTAAAAATATCTGGTCCAAATGTTTTATGCCAAAAAGTGTTTTAAGGGTTGCAGGTTTTTTTCATGGATTCTGATAGTCATTAAAGCAGCTTCCTTCTTCTTTAAAAGCAGTTTACTACTGAGATGATGTTCAAATTTATGTGAGATGATGCTAATACATGCATACGTTCCCTTTTTAATAACTGTTCTCATTTCCTGTAACAAATGTATCATGTTGACTAGGAATTTCTGGGAGTTGAAGTCCACTCATTTTTGAGTGGCCAAAGTTGAGAACATTGACATAAAGTAGCTGCCTTTCTCAAAGCTGCCATCCCATGTTGCCACCCCAAAACAGCTGGAGTGTATCCAGCTGGGGAAAGCTTTCGCACCTTATATATTTTGCATCCTGTGGAAGAAAACAGTTAAGTTTCTTAGCTTGACCCATGTAAAAGATACATGGCCTTCAACTTCATGAATGGACTGCATAAAGAAGTAGCTCAGGCCCAAAAGTGGAAACCTCTCGATGTTCTGCAGAAATATTAACCATAGGATAAAAGCAACACAGACAAATAAGCTTGTAATTGCAAGTTTCAGATATGTTTCTAGAATTCTGTATCTGGTGTACAGGAATTGGAGCTGTTTTCAAAGCTAATGGGTCACTGGGAAATTTAGAAGCACGAAAGATAAAGAGTTGTGGATAACGTTGCTTGAAGAAATGTAGAAACAGGACTTAAATGCCATGGCATAAGAGGGTATTGTTTAGGCCACTCAAAAAATTTTCAATTTGACTTTCTTCCCTCAAGTGTTAAGGCCACATTGTTAGCGCAGCCCGATATAGGCAAGTCTGGGGACTGAGAATGATATATGAGGTGCCTCCGTTTTTATTGTTTTCTATGTTTATTTTTAAATGTATTTTTGTGTTAATATTGTTAGCTGCCCAGAGTTGTTGGGTTAAGATGGGCAGCCATATGTATTTTCTAAATAAATAGAAAAAGTGAGCCTGCCTCAAGCATGGGAGTTGGTAAGACAATCAGAAAAGGAACTGATTAGAGAAAGAAACAAAACACTGTAAACCCTCCATTGTGTAAAACCAATGGAAATACTGCATATTTATTCTGGCTTTGGGGGGCTTTGGAAAGCTGCCTTATGCCTTGAGCTCAAAAGCTACACACAGAGGTTCTTACAGAGAATCAGAGATCATCCTAAGTGATTATGGCACAGGGTGTTTTCATAGGAGCTTCCCTCTTCTAAATTATGTTTGAACATTAGCCTCTAATATGAAAACTAAAATGATGGTGCACTACTATTTTCTAGTCCAACCCCCTGCTCCGGCAAGAAACCCTATACCATTTCAGAGAAATGGCTGTCCAGTCTCTTTAAAACTTCCAGTGTTGGAGCATTCACCGCTTCTGGAGGCAGGTAGTTCCACTGGTTAATTGTTCTAACTGTCAGGAAGTTTCTCCTAGTTCTAGGTTGCTTCTCTCCTTCATTAGTTTCCATCTGTTGCTTCTTGTCCTGCCTTCAGGTGCTTTGGAGAATAGCTTGACTCCCTCTTCTTTGGGGCAGCCCCTGAGATATTGGAAGTCTGCTCTCATGTCCCCCCTCATCCTTCTCTTCATTAGACTAGACATACCCAATTCCAGCAACCGTTCCTTATATGTTTTAGCCTCCAGTCACCTAATCATCTTTGTTGCTCTTCTCTATACTCTTTCTAGAGTCACAACATCTTTTTTACATCGTGGTGACCAAAAGTGGATGCAGTATTCCATTCTTATACTCAATTCTTATACTCATTCTAAAAACTTTAATGCAGCATTATTAGCAAAGGTTCAGATTTATAGAAGTGTATTTTTAAAGGCAATCTTTCAAAGAAAGTATAAACTATTGTCAAATGCTAGTCAGGTATTCTAGCAATCATTAGCAACAAACATATAAAACAGAAATAAAAGGCTGATTATAAAAAACATTTTCTAGAAACCTGTAAATTACAAGTGATGTAAAACATGCCTGAAATAGTTTACCTGTTTCCATGTTATTTTCTTAAAATTAAGATAGGTGCAAGATGGATTTGGAAGAAACCCCATGTCTGGATGTACCGTAACTCTATTTTCAGGCCTATGGAAAGCACTTCACAAATACAAAAGCCAAAAAAGAGGGGGGCCCAACTGGCCAGATTTTATATTTTATGTATCAATCAAGATATCAAAAGACAACGGTAGAAGAATTTAACTCATAGCTACATTGCAGGTGTCATTTAAACAGTCTAGACCAGGGGTGGGCAACCTCGGCTCTTTTATGACTCGTGGACTTCAATTCCCAGAATTCCTGAGCCAGCCATGTTGGCTCAGGAATTCTGGGAGTTGAAGTCCACGAATATGGTCAGTTGTGAGGTATTATGAAAGCTCTGGTTCAAAACATCTGGAGGGCACTAATTTCAATGCCCTTTTTTTTGTGGATTCAGAAGATCTCTCAGAAGCTATTTCACCAAGCAGCAACAATGAACCTTATCGAGGGCAATGGGGGAAAAGCAACAGCTGAAGTTCCTCATGAAGAGAAATTCCACGGAGGCTGTTTTCTAAGCTCCTGTTGTCATCTGGGTGTGAGGAAACTTGCATGGGAAGACTTTTGCTCAGACTTCCAAAGCAGAGGCAAACAGCCACAAATCAGCAATCTGCACTGCTTGATTTGTCTTCAAATGGTTGCAGGAGCATTTTCAGAGCAAAGATTCTGACATAGGAATGATACCTTCCGCACCAAACAAACTTTCCCATTTCTATTGCAGAACTTTTTGGGAAAAGTCGATCTTTACCAGGAATAAGGGTTACATATACGCAAATGGAGTTTTGCTGACCTCTCCTGGAGAACCACAGAAATAACTCAAAAGATGTTAGTTACTCTTCCATATTGCACTGTTTAGTTTCAGCCACTAAATATTTTGGAATGTGCAGCATGCTCATACAGCATCTGCCTGCCGCTGCTTAAAGCAGCTGGGCCTTCTCCCAGAATTTTATTGCGGAGAGTTGCCATAATTCTCATTCTCAAATCTGCAAAATCCTCACTTTTATATCCGTCATCGGATATTGCACTTAGATCTCCAGAACCACAGACTTAAGATTGGAATAATAAACCTCCAGGCTTTGATTTGGATCCATGTTCTGAAGTAGAGCAGCTAATTATAGCTAACTGTAATCAGTCCAATGTCAACATACTAAGCAGCAATACCCCTAAGCAGACATGGCTGCACTGGGGGCTTCTGTCCAAGTGTAGCCATTCGGATCTCGTCTCCTTCCCTATAATGCAGACCACCGATCCACAGTCATTCTTAAGTTTTGCAACAGTCATTCTTAAGTTTTACAATAGGAGACTGGAGTAGGGTTGTGAAGCACTTTGGAGCCAACTGAAAAAAAGGGTGTGTAATTAGGACACTCGTGGATGAAGAAAATTTACCTAAGTACTAACCCAAAAGAAGGTGGGACAATGGGCAGCCCAATAGTCAGAATCATCCTCTCTTTCTATGACAATCTTGCAAGTGGAAATAAGTGAAGGTGACTAAAATTAAAAGTAGGAGGAAGTCCTTCAGATATCCTGAATAATAATTTCCACGTCTCACCAATAGCCTAGCTCAGTGATGGCGAACCTTTTAGAGACCTAGTGCCCAAAAACTGGCCCTGCCCCGTTCCACCCCTGCCCCGCCCCCACTCTGCCTGCCTGCAGGCCACTCACCGCCTCCAGGGCCCGCTGCAGATCGCCCAGGCAGCCCAGCAGCACCATGATGGCCACGCCCTCTGCCCGCGCCCCGCAGCATCAACTGTGCGCATTGGGGCGTGAGGGCAGAGTCTTGTCTACGCTGCCTGGCTGCCATGTCCTTGGCTGCGCTGCTCCGCATGGGCCACGCTCGTGGGGTGACTCTCCTCCAGGGGGGCTGCTGGTGAGGAGGGGATCGCAGGGGGAGGCAAGGTTGGAGCAACGGTACGTGTGCCCACAGAGAGGGCTCCGAGTGCCGCCTCTGGCACCCGTGCCATAGGTTCGCCACCACTGGCCTAGCTATTGGTAATGAGGAATATCAATTAAAACATCAAAGGAAATTCTAGTAATGATGGAGACCATGCTCCAAAATACACTTGGAACTAAGTAGGAAAGAACAGTCAAATGACTGATAGAGTCATCGCACAATTTCTGTCACCTATTCAACACTTACAAAAATAAAACTATTTTCTCTCATTACTGCTTTCAAGCAAGGTTAGGGAATTCTTTCCAATCTCTTTATCAGCTCTGCCCATAGGAAATGTTCATATTTTATTCTCTGCAATTGCACCCTCTCATCCTGAAGTCCTGTTCTGCTATCTTCTTGTGGCGATGGAAGGGGATTCCCGAGAGAGATGGGTGAAGGGCACCAGGAATACACACCAAAACTATCTATGCCAAGCAGGGTCACCTAAACCAGGAAGGTCATGTACATTACCTACCTAAAGCAAACAGGCACTTACATCAGGCAGCAGAGATATAGGAAGACACTACAGAGGTAGATGGTCACTTTCAAGATGACAGCAAAGTTTCATACTACATGGTAAGTCATAAACTCCTGTGTTTTACCAAGTAACCACATAGATAGGTAAAGTGACCGACAATACACTGTCAGATAATGAATGCTTAAGCCAACATGCCATTAAGGAACATCTGAGGCTCTTTTGGAGCACTAATGATATTTATGACACTAAACCCTTCAGGGGGTTCAATACCTGAGGCTGCTGTAAGGAAAAAGAAAATCCAAAGCAGCAAAGATGGAATGATAGTGGGAACACAGAATGTAAAACCACAAATAGGGGATGCTCAATGCAGAAAAAGTAAGATGAGCTGATTATATATTGACATTTTAAGCATTAGAGCAGGGGTAGGCTACTTTGGCTCTTTTATGACTCGTGGACTTCAAATCCCTGAATTCCTGAGCCAGCATGGCTCAACATGGGAACTTCTCCCTTTCCCCTCAGTATGGCTGGCTCAGGAATTCTGGGAGTTGAAGTCCACGAGTCATAAAAAGAGCCAAGGTTGCCTACCCCTGCATTAGAGAATTGAAACTGATTGGAATTGGACACTTTTGAGTCAGAAAAATCATAGCGTTTGCTACCCAGGACACAAAAATGAAGAAGAAACAGCACCGCTTTCAGTGAGGAAGGATTCAGAAGGACAGGACATGTATACAATGCAATTGAGGGCCAAATATTATCTTTTAGAATTTGCAGACAACGTCCTTTAAAACGATGTTCATCTAACTTTCGGCTCCAACCACTGATGCAAGATGACATGTTGTATGGTCAAGGTCAATCTGAAAATGATAGAACATGCAAGCAAGAGTTGCTGCTGATGATTGGAGACTGGAATGTCAAAGTTAGAAATATAGGAGGAAAATGTAGCTATGTATGGGGCCAGGAAACAGGAACAACTTATCACCTTCTGGTTTCTTTAGCAACGGCTCATTCTTCAAGCAGAACAATTTCCGAATACATAGATATCATCAGGTGGAGAATACAGATCACACTGATTATATTATTGGTACAAAGAATTGTTAACAGATCAATTAACCAGCAAAGACGTGGTCAGGAACTGATTGTAGGAAAAAAATCACAAACTGATTATTTATGTGCAGGTTCCCTACCAAGTTAAAGAGGAAGATCAAAGCCAGAAGTTTCCACAACGTAATCTTGAATGTATATCTACCATTTTCAAGAAGAACATCAAAAATTCTCCGAAGTCCTGAACCTCACTGAGAGAAAAATCAGAGAAATTGTGGGATGAAACCAAAGAAGTTATAAAAGGTGAAAATGGAACTAGACTGCCACAGGTTAAGAAATAGAAGACACCAAATTGGAATTCAGTACAGATGATAGAAACTGCCGGGAAGAGGAAGAAACCAAGGCCGAAAGACAAAGATCTCAGGAAAAACTTAACCAAACAAAAAATATAGAGAGCTGTTAGATCAGTGGTTCTCAACCTTTTTAATGCCGCGACCCCCAACCGGTCGTAAGTTGAGGACTAAACCGATCGTAAGTCGAGGACTAAACCGGTTGTAAGTCGAGGACTTTCCCTGCCCGGGAGCGCCACGCAAGCGTGGTTCCGCCCCCTGCGCCGGCCGAGGCGTAGCTGGCAAGCGGCAGAGACGGATCAGGCCGACCACCAGCTGGCCCAGCTCAAGGGAGGTAAGGCACCCGCCGGAAAAGGGGGAAAAAATGGCGGACAGCCTTGCTTGGCGACCCCCGTGAAATGGTCGATCGACCCCAAATGGGGTCGCGACCCATAGATTGAGAACCGCTGTGTTAGATAAAACAAGGAACAGCATTACAGCAGCACCTATATCTAATTAAGAAATAGGAAATATAAACAAACAAACATACAAACAAACAAAATAGAAACAGAAGGGAAAATACAGATTAAATTTCCAAAAGATCACAAAACTTACGAGGAGATTCCAATCTCAAACCAATATGCTAAAAGACGAACAGAGAGTAATTCAGAAAAGATGAAATAGAGATGAGAAGAGTATATTGAAAGTACTGCACAATAGAAATTTCAACATCCAAGATACCTTTCAAGATATTCCCTACTTAGAAGTGGGTGAACAGCTCTACAAGCTGAAGTCAGATTAGCAGTTAGGTAGGATAGCTACAAGAATTGATGGATCATCTACAGAAATAGAAGAGAAAACAAAAGAATCTAACAACGGTTCCAATCACACGACAACAGCAAATCTAGAATGACCCAGTGACTAGCTGACAGATTGACAGAGGTCAATCTTCATACCCATATCAAGGAAAGGAGGCTTAACAGATAACAATATCCTTAATTTCACATGTTAGCAAAATGATGTTCAGTGTCATTGAATGCAGATTAGAGGCCTAAAATGGAAAAAGAGATGCCAGATGTTCAAGCTGGCTTTCGAAAAAGCTAAAGAACAAAAGACATTGCTGATACACACCAGTAACTGTCACAGAGCACTAAAAAGAAGTGGTTTTTATTGGCTACAGAAAGCCCTATGACCATGTTGTCCATATTAATCTGTGGAACGTCCTTAGGAATCCAGAACACCTCATTGTCCTCACTGAAAGCCATAGTCTGGATGGAACTTGGAAAAACAAAATTGTCTCCAGGTTGAAAAGGGAGTGAGACAAAGCTATATTGCCTTATTTATCCAAAGTAGATGCTGGATATATTTTGAGGGAAGATGGACTGGAAGATGATTATGATTTTAAAATTGGACAAAGGAACATCAATAACCTGCTCTCTGCTGATGACGCTTCTCCGACAGATGAAAATGAAAATGATCTGCAAATTCCAACAATAAATATCAAGGAACAGATGAAAAAAAATGAGACAACTCCATTAATTAAAATCAAGGACCATGTGAAAAAATGGAGATGATGGTTAAATAGAAAGAGATCCAAACTAATGACAACAAACACTGTCTTAGAATTGACAGTGAAGACATTCAAGTGGTATATAACTTATGTGCCACAAAGTAATATCTGACAGGATAGCAAGGAAGGTCTTAGAAAAACTATTCAGATGCCATCACTTGGCTCTATCTACAAAGAGTAGAACCACACTAACAATAGTTTTCCCTGTGACACTCCACGGGAGTAAAAGACTCTGGAGAAGGTAGAGTGAAAAGACATACTCTGGAGAAGGAGGTAGTCCTCAACGTACAATAGTTCATTTAGTGACTGTTTGAAGTTACAATGGCACTGAAAAAGTGACTTATGACCATTTTTCACACTTATGACCATTGCAGCATCCCCATGGTCATGTGATTTTCATTCAGATGCTTGAAAACTGCTTCATATTGATGACGGTTGCAGTGTCCCAGGGTCATGTGATCCCCTTTTGTGACCTTCTGACAAGCAAAGTCAATGGGGAAGCCAGATTCACTTAACAATCATGTTCCTAATTTAACAACCACAGTGATTCGCTTAACAAATGTGGCAAGAAAAGTCGTAAAATGAAGCAAAACTCACTTAACACATTTCCCACTTGGCAACATAAATTCTGGGCTCAATTATAGTCATAAGTTGAGGACTATCTGTATTCACACTTTTAAATGTTATATTGGAAAAGATTATTGAGAATATCATGGTTAGCTGTGAAACCAACAAATCAATTCAGAATTATCACTTGCCACACAAATGACCAGGCTCAAATTACCGTATTTTGCACACATTACACAAAGACCTCACTATTTTGAGAAGTTTATAACGCTAAGAAAAGTGGAAGGAAAGAGGGAAAAAATGAGCACCAACAAGGTGGATAGATTCAATTATAATTACTATGAATGCCACATTAAGAGACCTAAGAGGACGGATCACCTGAAGAACAGCTACACAGTCAATCAGAGTCAACGCTGATTTGATGGCGCTTAGACTGAGTATGAAGTAACAAGTGGTTCTGCATCCCTTTATGCTGTGAGTATGTGTGTGTCTGTATGAACAGGGAAACACGGGGGTGGGTTGCATTCTCTGATTCATGTGACAGAAACAAGGCAGGCCTAGAATGCAGGAGCTGGCAGCTTTCTGAGCTACTATTCTATTACCTACCTCTCTACAGGGGTCGGCAGCCCCTGGCCAGATCATGACATTTTTGAACCTCCATCTTTCTTTTGTCATTTTTTCTGCCACACCAGATTTGTCACCTTGTGTTCTATTGTGAAGAGTCATCATACTTATGGACAGAGTTCTGAGCCTCTTTACATACTTTCTTTCCAACTTTCCACAAAGTTGGAAAAAATAAAATATATTGAGCCCAGAGAACTATCTGAAGTGTTAGGATTCTATTTCTGAGAGCAGAATTCAAGTTGTCATCTATCCATGGCTGTGTCTAAGGTGCTGGATGAGCCTCTGGGAGACCAAGGTTCTCATTCTTTCACAGCCATGGATCACTCTCAGAACAGTCTGCCTCAAATTATAATGGAGAGAAAACTGAAGGCAGGGAGGCCATGTAGACCAGGAGGTCCTGGAGGAAGGATAGGAAATAAATTTAAGCAATTAAAATATGAAAATTGCTGGGTAAACTTGGAGAAATCACAGCAGCCTTTATGGGGCTGCTGCTGTTCTTCCATGTTCTACAGCAGGGGTGTCAAACTCAATTTCATTGAGGGCCACATCAGCATTGCGGTTGCCCTTGGGGGGCCGGGTGGGTGTGGCCAGGCTGGGTGCGGCCTACTGGGTGGGCATGGATGGAGTGGGTGTGGTCTACTGGGTGGGCATGGCCAGCTCTACATCGTTTGCGTCAAGGGTGCCTGTGGGGGCCTGGGCAGGAGTGGGACAGATCTGAGGGTCTCTGGCAGAAGGGGGTGGGACCAGGGCAAGCGCCAAGGCATGGTCCATTTCTTCATTCCTCACAAAGGGTGACACCTCCCCAGCATGCACCCAGGGGGCGGGGGCGACACAGGTGGTGCTGGTTCCTAGCTGTTTCCAGATGGCCTTGTGGAGCTAAGACTGAATGCATTTCAGCATAGATGGGCACCACAAAATTGTACATTGGCTCCCGGCTGGACTGGGCCAGGGCCAAGGCAGCGGGGGCCGTTCCCTCACTGTTTCCAGGATGGCTTCGCGGGCCACATGAAACCACTTCAAGGGCCGCATCCGGGCCCTGGGCCTTGTGTTTGACATGTCTGTTCTACAGGATAAAAAGAGAGGAACACAAACTGCATATATTTGTGGAAGAAGAGCGTAGAAGACTTTGTGGAGGATTTTTCCTACTACGGTCGAGCAACATTATCTAAATTAAATCTGTGGCAACAATGCCCAACCATGTAAATGTCAGTGTAGAAAGGCTGTTTGAAAATACTGAAGATATTGTAAACACACCAAGTATTACAAATGATAATACTTACAGTACTGTGAAATACAACGCTGTGGCCTTTTCCCAAACTTTCTATGTGAGCAGAAAGGTTAAAGCAAATAGCCCGATGCCGTATTGCATCCAAGGTCTGTGCATCAAAGAAGTCATGCGGTCTTGCTAAGGAAGGAAAAAAACAAAAACAAAGCAAGTCTTCAACTACAATGCAAGAGTATATGTAACATATTTAAACGTTCAGCTTTTCTGATGTTACTTAAGGAAGAAAGATTGCGCCTTCTGCTTTCATAGCACAGGCTGTAAAGCTCAATATACTTACAATGATCCTATTTTTAAACTTATCAAACTGTTCTTACTATGAGGAAGTCTTCTGCCAATGTTTCGCTGAAGTTTATCTTTTGTAATTTAAGTGCAGTATTCCAAAATATGCATTCAGGTGATAAAGGACGGGTTTAGGGGGGCTTTTTCCTCTGAAAAACCTTTTTAGGTATTTGAAAACTGGAATTACATTTTCCTCTTTTCAAATTAAGCTTTCCCAGTGCATTCAGTGTTAATTTTCCAGTCTCCAAATCAATGTCCTTGATCTTTTCTGGACCTATTCCAATTTTAGATTATTTTTTTTTTTCATTTTTAGAATTAGACATAACATTCAAGGAAGGATCTGATAAACGGAAGATAAAGTGAAACTATTACTTCCTGTGATTTGAAAAAAAATACACTTTGTAATAACATTAACAAAACTACATTTACTTTATTTCGCAACCACGTCACACTGCCATCTTACTTACATTTGCAAGCAACTAGTATTACAAGATCATTATTGCAAGAATAACCAAACTTCCATTTAGCAGGTCTTGTAAAGCAATAGGTTTTGGACTTAATAAACATCAGTGCCAAGCTCCCAGAAGACACAAATCCATAGGTTAGGAAATATGTTGCCTATGTGTGCATTAACATACTTTCTTGGGCAACTGTATCACTGTTATTTATTTTGTTCATGTATTTCTCTCAGAAACATATTAATTAGTGATTTCTGGCTTCTTAGCATTTAAGGCTTGACACTTATGATAAACTGGTTCAGCTTTTGGTACTGCTTTTTTTAATCTTTTTTTTTTGCTGCTCACTGATTCCTTGTTGTTGTTTTTTGACTTTCAGCTCCTTGATAAAGATAGATCAAAAAGCTGAATGATAGACATTCCCCGTTTCTAATGGTCCTTTGAATTGAGGCTTCACTGCACTGTTACTAAGCTAGATATCTCCAATGTTATACCTTTGTGCTTAATCTCAGTTAACTTGGCATTACCCTCTGTTATTCTCATTCAGTAAATATACATATATTTCTGTAGCTATGGAAGGTCATTTTCAGATACAACCAACAATTAGGTTAGTGGATGTTCATCCATAAGGTTCCAGAAACAATTCCTTCCTAAAATATTTGCATAACAGCTAATATTCTTTCTCTTTCCAGTTCTCTTCCATGGAAGATTCATCTTCATTCAACAGCTTCTCATGACTGAATAGTTTCATAATACTAACCAAGATACAATAAATGTAATTACTTACTGCTACATATCAAACAATACAACAAGTTTCTGGGTTACTGCTAGTGTGAACCACACAGGGCTGTAATTCTACCCCTTGGAGCCAAGACTTTTTTTTTTTTTTTAGTTCAGGTAGCCTGCATATCCTGCTTATTTGTAGAAAATACTTCAACACTAGCTGTAGTATAGTTGCAATTATTTGAATCCAATTCAAAGGTGATGAGATAAATGCAAAATATAAGAAAGTTAAATTTTCATTTATCACACTGAGCATATAAATGCTACTGATTTAAGCTCAACTGAACCACAATAATGTGAATAGAAAATCTGAATTATGCTTTGCTGCTTTAATAACATTATTATTTTTTATGTTCTTGAAGAAGTATTTGATCTAATATTGTTTTCATTGTGTGAACTGCAAATCAAGTGGAATGTCATGGGGAAAATGGGTGCTCACAGACACTTTCAAATTTGAGCTGGGATTTTTTTTTAAATATACTTTTTGTGCTAATATTTTTTTCCGGAAGGCATCCAAATCCATGTTGGTGAGCTGAACAAATTGCACAGGCTTATGGATCCTAGCTCTCTTCAGTTGTTCAACAAAGACACTACTTCAGTTGTTCAACAAAGACACTATTTTAACTACCAAAACAGCATATATTAAAATATATATTGAGGTAGATTTCTTTCCCTACTTGCCCACTATAGTTAGACCTATCTCATACAGAAAAACAACAACAGGACAAGGCTAACACTTCAGCCGATTATGCATCCAAATCATCTGGCATTAGTGAATTAAATCCAACAATGCTAAGCTTTGGCTTTTTGAAGAATACCTTCGTGCAGGATCAAATCACTGAAGATACGGATCACTTCATAATTCTCAACAAACAATATTATATTTAAACAGGTAGTGGGAATAAGAAAAACCCATTTGTGACATCATTCAGCGATATATATCGAAGTATTCATATACTACATCTGCCTCTAGCACTAAAAGATGAAGTTAGTCATTACCAAGTCAGAAGGCTGAAGGAAACTAGTAGAATACTCACTGAAATACAGCAAACAAAAGAAGTTTGCAAAGGTTTTAACTATGTTTATAGGAGGAAACCCGGAGAGTGGCACAGTGGCAACATACTGGAAGAGGTCAATCTACATATTAATACCAAAAAAAAGTTTCTTAACAGAATGAGCAAACTATCATGCAAATAACCTTGCTTTCATAAGCTAGTAAAATGATGCTTAGGCTCATCCAATGCAGATTAGACACCTACACAAAAAAACAAAATGCCAGATGTTCAAGCTAGCTTTAGAAAAGACCAAGGGACATGAGACCTAATTGCTGATGAATGCTAGATAATTGAGAAAAGAAAAAGAATATCAAAAATAAAGTCAATATGTGTTTCATTTATTGCAGAATGTCCTTTGATTGTGTCCATCACGAATGTGCTTACAAAAATGGGGATCCCAGAACATCTCATTCCCCTCATGAGAAACCTATATACAGGTGAGGAAACCACAATGTGAACAAAAGGTGAAACAGAGAGTTTCAGATTGACATACTGAACATATATTAAGGGAAGCCGAAATGGAAGAAAATCAATATAGTTTTAAAACTGGAGGAAGAAAAATCAATACCATGCGTTATTCTGATGAGACTACTCTGATAGCAAAAATACAAAGGATCTGCAAGTTCTAGTAATAAATGTTAAGGAGAAAAGTGAAAAAATGGGACTAAAATTATATACTGTATAAAGAAACTAGTGATACCATGAAGAACGACCACTTTTAGAAGTGACAATGGACAATTTCTGCCTTTTAGGATCAACCAACAATAGTAAAGGAACAGTCAAGAAACACAACACAGACTAGTACTTGGTAAAGCACCCACGAACGCCTTGGAAAATATATTCAAACGCTGTGATCTGTCCATTACCTACCAAGATCAGAATAATGCAAACTATGGTAATCCTAGTGAAAGTTGGAGTTTGAAGAAGCAGGAAGGAAGACGACTGACATTTTTGAACTTTGGGCTTGGAGAAAACACACGAGAATACTGTAGATAGCCAAGAAAACAATCAAACAGATCTCTAAACAAATGGCCAGGCTTAAATTATTCTAGGTTGGATACATTTTGGGAAGATTTGTCTCTCTGGAGAAGGCTCTTATGCTGGCAAAATTGGAAGAAAAGAAGACAATCTGCAGCAACATGAATGAATTCAGTTATGGCAATGGATGTGCCATTAGAAGACCTGAAAGACCAGGGTTTTTGGTCATGAGAAAAAAAAAATCTACGTAGGTGATAAGAATTGTCAGCAACTTGATGGCACATAATCAAACAACATATCCAATACTTAAAGCTATAGTCACAGAGTAATGAAAATGCGTTCATGAATTAGCACGCAACTTAACAATGACTTGGTTTATGTATCAATTCAGCTATAATGTTCTTGACTTTAGCTTAATGCGTTGTGTGAATATAGTCCCTGGCTATCAGAATATCACAGCTTGAATCAAGAGATGTAAGTAGAGAAACCAAGAAAATTCCTCATCCAAACATCCCGTAAAGTTCCAGAGGAGTCAATGACTTTCAGAATATTGTGGCCATATCAGAATCCTGTAACGGGAAGGATCTTTGATGCAGGAGCATAATTCAGCTCCACATTTTATTCCAAATCGTATTTATGCTTTTACTATTTTGATACAAAACCAGGCAAATATCTGCCAAGCATGGCAGTTTAGACAGATCCTGATATACAGAAACACATGAATCACTAATGTTCATAATTTCGGAAGGATTATAATTCAGGAAGGATTATGATTATTTTCAATGACACAACCGTTCCATGATCGAAACATGACATTTTTCATTACTGTCCTGGAGAATTTTCATATGTTGATTATGAAAGTTTTGATTAATTAACAGAAGTGCAGGCAGGATGAATACCACTGAGATACCAAGAACTGCAGATCCAATTCTATACTCAGGAATTAGGAATGTGCATTTGTATTCTATTATGTTCTTCTTTAATTCCATATGTTTGCTGTGTTTTTACTTCTTTTGTTTTCATACTTTTTTTTTTTTTTTACAATTTTAAACCACCCATAATCAGTTTACAAGTTGGGTGGTCATACCAAATAAAACTCTTAAAACTAAGCAGGATCCTTCTCCCATCCAAAAAATTCTAACTGAAACAAATGATCTGGATTCAGGCTTGGCCTGGGAAATGCCATTGGTTGCTGTGGTGGCTGACCTTTCTGGGACCTAAATGGGGGGGTTTGGTTCTCTAGTCACTTCCAGACTTTTCAGTGGCATTTGTTATCATTGAACCTATATCTTTCTGGCCCACCTGCAAGGATTAGGAATTGGACGTTAGAATGTATTTGATGGTGGTTCTATTCCTACATGAGTGGTGATACCAATCACAAATTCAGGAGAAGCATTCAAGCCCTTGGTTATTATAATGTGTGGTTCCTCAGGACTCTCCCTTATACTACTTAATATCTATGTAAAAATCACCGTGGGAGATTGCCCATCTCTCCATAGGGAGGTATTTCTGCTATGCACATAACACCCATTTGTATATTGCCACCCCAGGCCAAGTTGGAGATGTTGTGCTTACATCCTGAGAGGGTCTGAATGGGATAAAGTAAATACAGGTTGAGTCCCTCCAAGACAGAGCTGCCATTTTTTAATAGACCAAGGGGTATCCAAACAACATCAGTTCTCAGTGGTCATACTGAATGGAGTTTGCTGTCAGGAATGGGGGTGGGAGGTGGGGCACTGCCCAGCTTCAGCTGGTAAACCAGTTGTGGCCCTGCTTGGACCCAGATGCCCTAGCAAGTAATTTACATCTTTATAACCACTCAGCTGGACTACTGCAACATGCTATGTATAGGCTGTCATTGGAAACTACTTAGAAACTATAGATGGTACAAAACAGAGCAGCTAAAGTGCTAGCAATTTACTCCTAATAATACATATTTTAAGTCACTGTTTTGGTTAGGGTTCCACGTCTATTAAAAAAAAAGCAGAAAGTTACCTTTTAAAGCCCAACACAGCACAATATCCATTTACCTCAGGCAATTCCTTGCTAGGACAAAATCTGCTTACCTGGTTTGATCTTTACAAGAGGATTTCAGAGTTCCTCCACTTTTTGAGGTAGATGGGTGTGGACAAGGCAAGCACATCGCTTCAATGGTAGCCCCCATTTTATGGAATTCTCTCCCCAAGAGGAACACACACCTCTGAATCTCTTGGCTTTTCAAAACCAAATTATAACACTTTCATTTCACCAAATTGAATGGGAGCACTGTGACACTTCTGTTATTTACTAGAAATGTTATTGTTATTAGTTGTTTGGCCTGTTGTTGCTTTAATGCTTGCAACATTAGAAACGTTGTAAAATGACTACAGATATTTAAACTGAAGACTAAAAAAAATAATAACTGAAAGGGGAGCTATCTTGCTATTACCGGTAGACGAACTACCAGTGTTTGCCATCCTTTCTAAAAAGTATCTTTGAGCCCAACATAGGCTCCACAGGCAATTATTTAAAAATATAGTAAATGGGCAATTTAAACAGGACTTTGTTTTGAAGTCTGTATAAGAAAATAAAAACACAAAACAAACATAATCTGGAATGTTAAAAAACATCCTGGAGGCCGGAAAGAAATTGCCATAAAATCCTCCAATGTTTATATCCTTTCCTTTGTAATAAATAAATGCCCAAGAAAAAGCCATTTTTTGTTATCAACACCTGTGAATCATCAACAAGTGCCCATATGACCCTGTGGAAACTCCTATGATTATTTTATTTTGATGTGGGTAGTAGGAGGGTTGACTTTTTTCCCCCCTGTGAAACTGTTGGACTTATAAGCCATAGTTTGTTCTTGGCTTCTATAATCTTGGCTTGCCTGGGAAAGACAAGCTAGATAGTTTGCCAGTCACAATAAGCAAACCTCAGAAAGTGCATTCTTTTCTTTGTTTAGCTCAGGGGTAGGCAACTTTGGCTCTTTTATGACTCGTGGACGTCAACTCCCAGAATTCCTGAGCCAGCATGGCTAAGCATGGAAACCTCTCCCTTTTCCCTCAGCATGGCTGGCTCAGGAATTCTGGGAGTTGAAGTCCATGAATCATAAAAGAGCCAAGGTTGCCTACCCCTGGTTTAGCTAGTCCCACTAACAGAAGCTACGTGGGAGCTATTGAGCAGCATTCTTTAGCAAGCTTGCTCGTCCACAGCGAGTCAGAATTCTGGCTTACCATGACGTGTGACCACTCCTATTTTCTTGTCAGTGGTTAACAGTTCCCCAGCACAGTCTGGCATCAGCCCTATAGAGGACAGCAGAGTCAAGGCCTTTATATATCCAGTATCTTAAAACCTTAAATGTTTTGTGAAATGAGTGGCTGATTCAATACAGCTATCGCCAATGCAACTGCAGAACTCATTTTTGAACTCAAGACAATAGTATCATTATGAGCTAAACATCCACCTTGGAAAAACTGGATTATGCCAATATAGATCCCCCTCCATTTTTTCATGGGTCTTAAGGGAGCTTCTCTCTTTGAAACATCCCAGCTGGTCACAGTGGACGACTTGTCCAGTTGTCCAAAGAGAAAGCTGGAGCGCAGAATGTGCTCTGGGTTCAAAGGGGAAAAGATTCTTCAGAGTCTGAGCACAAGGAATCCGTTAGGAGGGCAGGTAGGTAGGTAATTCTAACAAAAAATGCTATTCAAATCTTTGTTAGCAGGGACAGTCTGATTTCCAAAGAGCCTCCAACTGTACATCCCTCGCTTCATCTTTACAACTACTTAGTAATGTAAGACTGAACTCAGAGATAGCAACCAGTTCAATCTTTTGTGAATGAGAACTGAAATAGGTTTTTCCAGCCCAGATCTATCATTATGGACTCTGTGCTAAGTAATCTGTTCAAGCAAGAATTTTTTCAACACAGATCCTTTGAGAGAAGGGCTTCCCAACCTTGGCAACTTGAAGATGTGTGGACATCAACTTCCAGAATTCCCCAGCCGGCATGCTCGGAGTTGAAGCACACACATCTTTAAGTTGCCATGCTTGGAAAATACTGTTTTAAACCTGTCTCCTTTCAACTAAACTGAAATATTAAAATCAGTTTGAATATGAAATTTCAGTTAAGATTATTGAGATTTTTTTAAAAAATTTTTGACGGGATTATATTAAGCTTGGTTGAAAGACTATTTTTCATTATTGTCTACAAAGTCTAACTGCAAAACCACAATCCCCCCCCCCCCAAAATGTGATTCCTGAGAAGTCAAGTACAACCCTTCAAAATATCACCCAAAATGATGCTGGGGGATGCAGAATTCCTTGCGGACCCCTTATACTACTCCTCAAGTAACCATTCAGATCTTTGGACTTCTTTGCCAGGTGCAAAATTAACAGCATCAGATTTTATTTTATTTTTTAAATGTTTACTTCTTAGCCCAATAAAGGATTCCATAGATGATGACAAAAATGACACTAATCATTATCCTCTGAATGCCAACGAACTATATATTCTGTCCAGTAAAGAAATCCTATTAGACATAGAAGTTCTGCCTGCTATAATTCTGAAAGCCTTTAGCTTCAGAGCTGAGGATAAGTTAAGAAGGTACATTCATACTAGGTACAATGATCTCTCTGACTTTCCCAAGGAGCAAGATCTTAAATTCAAGGCTATTAATGGGGGGATTTGCAAGAAGATGGTAAACAGGCCAAAAGCTATTGCGAGCAAGCCAAGCCATCAAAGGTCAGCTTCAGGTTTGTAAAGCTTTATCACAGAACTAAAATACACGCAGGCTTACGTAAAGAGCGCCTCCGTTTGTTCTTTAACTTCTTCCTTTTGTTCATTCCAGCTTTAGAAGGAGACTCTTCTTTTGCCTTTGGCTGGTTGGCAACTTTTGAAGAGTTCTGCTGACTGAAGTGTGTCGGCACATGCCGAGCCAGCCCACTCTGGGAAGCAAAACTCGCATTGCATCCTCCAACAACGCACTAAATAAAATAAAATAAAATAAAATAAAAGCAAAGTTAGAGGCACTCAGTGAGGCTATCGCTGAACCAAGAAAGGAACAGGCTGCTGTGGTCTTGCTTTGCTATCATCCTTTTATGAAAAGAACAACTGTGCAATCCCAGTCAACATACTGAGAAAGTGCTCACTTCAAACAGGATGTCAATTATTAAAGATTACCTTCCCTTCATTGTTCTTAATGTAACACAGCACGCAACCAAGAAAGGACAGTAGACAACGCTGGTTTCTGAACGCTAGAGCGATAGCTCAGTTCCAGTGATGTGAGAACATAGCCAACAATATGAAGTCAACAGCTTTTTTTGCCTAGTTAACAGCAGGTATTAATGGATTTTGTGTGAGTGAATACTTGTTCTTTTATAAAGAAACAAATCTAACCATAAGGTTAAGTCAATAAGATTAGCAAAAGTCAGTCGAAATGTTGTATTTCCTCAAATGCAGATATAATATTGTTGCCATTGTGGAAACTTGGTGGGATGAAACGCACAAATGGAATATACAGCTAGAGGGATTTAAATTATTTAAAGGAAACAGAATGTAAGAGGACCTGGAGTTGCACTATATATAACAAATAACTACATCTCTACAGAAATAGAGCTCAACAACGATGAAAACTGTCTTAAATGCATTTGGGTCAATTATAAAAGGAGGGGAAATGACATTGCCATAGGCCTATACTATAGATGAACTTTCTGCTAGTCAGTTAACTAAGGTATGTAGGAAGCACATCACAATACTGATGGGGGACTTTAATTACCCTGACATCAACTGGGAGACAAACTCTGCACCAAGTGGAAGATCAAACAGGTTCCTGACAAACCTAGCAGACAACTTTGTCTCCCAAAATGTAGAGAAAGGAACTAGCCATATTAATTCTCACTAACAGAGATGAAATGATAGAAGGTGTTGAAGCTACAGGAACCTTGGGGGGAGTGATCATGCAGTATTGGAATTCAACATTATGCAAGCATAAGCAATAGAATAAAGTCAAACTAGAGTCTTGGAGTTAATTTCAATAAACTTAGAGAGAGTTTGGGAAGGATTCCATGGATGAGAATCCTCAAGGGGAAAACAACCCAAGAAGCTTGGAAAACTTTGAAAAGTGAGATTATAAAAGTGCAGTCTAGTACAATACCAATGAAGAAAAATAACAGCTCTCAAAAGAAATCAGCATGGCTGCATAAAGAACACTCTGATAAATTGAAAGACAAAAAGGACAAGTATAAAAAGTGGAAAGAGGGGCACATAACTAAGGCAGAATATCAGCAAATAACCCGAGACTGCAAAGATGAAGAGAGGAAAACTAAGGCTTGCGACAAAAGTCAAAAATAACAAACAAACAAAAAAGCTTCTTTCAACATGTAAAAAACAAGAAAAAAGTCAAGGAAATGATTGGTCCACTAATGGGAGAAAGTGGCAAGAAGGTGAAAGCAGAACTGCTTGACTAGTTTTTTGCATATGTCTTTATATAAAAGGAAAAAACAGTCAAACCTATCAAAAATAGTACTGTAAAAAACAGATTAGGAATATAAGGCAAAATAGGCTAGAAAATGGTTAAGTGAGCACCTGTCCACCCTAGACAAGTTCAAATCACCAGGACCATATGGATTACACCCCAAGGTTCTGAAGGAGCTGGCAGACGTGATCTCAGAACCACTGAACTATATCTTTCAAAGATCTTGGAGCACCAGGGAACTATCAGAGGCCTGGAAAAGAGCTGATATAGTTCCCATCTTCAAAAAAGGGAAAAAAATAGATTTAGGAAGATAACCAAAAGTCAACATGGGTTTGTCAAAAACAGATCATGCCGGACAAATCTTATTGCATTCTTTTGCAAAGTGACAAAATTAGTGGACCAGAGGAATGCTATGGATATAATTTAGTTGGACTTCAGTAAGATACAGTATTTGATAAAGTAGACCACAACCTACTACTTGATAAGATAGAAACATGTGGGCTACACAGCATCACCACCAGATGGATTTGTAACTGGCTGACCAACTGCACTCAACATGTAGTCCTCAATGGAATTGCATCTACATGGAGGGAAATATGCAGTGGGATACCCCAAGGTTCCGTTTAGACCTAGTACTCAACATCTTCATCAACGATTTGGAGGAGGCGATAGATGGAGAACTCATCAAATTTGCAGACAACAGCAAGCTGGCAGGAACAGCCAACACTCCAAAAGATAGGCTTAAGATACAGAAGGATCTTGACAGACTTGAACATTGGGTGTTCAAAATGAAATTCAATAGTGAAAAAAGTAAGGTTCTACATTTAGGCAAGAAAAACCAAATGCACAGGTATAATATAGGTAGTACCTGGCTCAGTAGTAGTAATTGTGAGAGGGATCTCGGAGTCCTAGTGGACAATCACCTAAATCTGAGTCAGTAGTGTGCTGCAGCTGCCAAAAAAGCCAATAAAGTTCTAGGCTGCATTAACAGAGGGATAGAATCAAGATCACATGAAGTGTTAATACTACTTTATAACGCCTTGTAAGACCACACTTGGAATACTGCATCCAGTTTTGGTCATCACAATGTAAAAAAGATGTTGAAACTCTAGAAAGAGTACAGAGAAGAGCAACAAAGACTGGAGGCTAAAATATATAAAGAATGGTTGCTGGAATTGTGTATGTCTAGTTTAATGAAAAGAAGGACTAGGGGTGACGATAGCAGTGTTCCAATATCTCAGGGGTTGCCACAAAGAAGAGGGAGTCAAGCTATTCTCCAAAGCACCTGAAGGCAGAACAAGAAGCAATGGATGGAAACTAATCAAAGAGAGAAGCAACCTAGAACTAAGGAGAAATTTCCTGACAGTTAGAACAATTAATCAGTGGAATGCTCCAACATTGGAAGTTTTTAAAAAGACTTTGGACAGACATTTGACTGAAGTGGTATAGGGTTTCCTGCCTGAGCAGGGGATTGGACTTACTGTGGAATAGTTTTTCCAGAGTGATTTAAGCAGGTACCAATCTTAAAGTATTATTTGTTTACCATTTTTTTCAAGTTAGTCAGTTTGTCCTATTGTATTTTTATTCTCTTTTGAATCTGTTAATTTAGACAGACTACTGTCATATTTTAAAGGCAAGTTATTTCAGGGCAAAAGGACAATGCCTTCCTTTGAGATAGATGCATAAATATTTTAATAAATATTGAATGCAGAGATAAAAGAAAACCAGGTAGGCTAAAAAGCCTTAGAAAATAACCTACCTTAAAAGGTTTGTCCCCACTATGGGTCAACATATGCCGTTGTAACCAACTCTGACTCGTTGATGGTGTGTTATACACTTTGCAGCCTTTCCATAAGCAAACAAACACCTAGTAAGAGAAAACACAAGTTAGGTGGAAGCTTTGTTTACAAATATTTTTGACATTCACGATATTATTTTAATTCAATAAATTACCCGAAAACACATATTTCTGTAAAGAATGTTTGCTTTTAGTCAGGGTGGATTTGATTTAAATCAAGTCGATTTAAATCACCATTTAAATCATGATTTAAATCACTAGTAAAAAAAAGGCTTGATTTAAATCAACTTAATTTAAATCATAATTTTTAAAGAGCAGCTGTCATTTCTGTCTCGCAGCGGCTCCTCCTCTGACTCGCTGTTGACTCACCGACAATCCCATTCACTTTAATGGGACGGCTGGTGATGCGTCAGCGACACAACAAGGTGAGGGATGTAGCGGGCAGCAGGTGAGTGGATGCCCGCTAACAGGTGCTGCCATGATGGATCTGAAAAAGCAGGTGCTCTTTAAATGTAAGGACTCATTCTTGCTGGTAGTTAGAATCTTTAATATTATTATTTGCAAACAAAGTGAAAGTTTCCTATTTAGAATAATAAGCTGTCAGGTTAGTAAAACAGCAAAATCAGAAATAGTTTTTTTCTCTGTATCTTTTAACTGTTATTATTTTCAGTCTTACATTTATAGGAATCTTACTTATACACTGCAAGCCTCATTTAAATGACTGAAACCATTCATTTCAACTGGACAGCCATTTGTCCGAAATGGTATAGGGTTTCCTGCCTGAGCAGGGGGTTGGACTAGATGACCTCCAAGGTCCCTTCCAACTTTATCATTATTGTTATTATTATAAAGCATACAATCCCTCTCCACATGCTACATATATAATACATGAATTAACAATCACTAAAAGCTTTTTTGAAGTAGTTCAGCATGGGCAAAACATGTTTGCTTTGGTAAATCCAATGAATTCTGCATTTCAGTTCGACGTACATGTTAGAATCCAGTTTATGCCCATGTTGTAACTGTGTAAGAATGCAGTTACAGGTAATCCTTGATTTATGCCCTCAACTAAGCCCAAAATTCTTGTAGCTAAGCAAGACAGTTGTTGAGTTGCGCCCAATTTTATGACCTGTTTGCCACAGTTGTTAAGAGAATCACTGCAGTTGTTAAGTGAATCTGGCTTCCTCCACTGATTTTGCTTGTCGGAAGCTGGCTGAGAAGGTTCCAAAAGGCAGATCACATGACCCCAGGACACTACAATTGTCATAAATACATCCCAGTTGCCAAGCACCTGAACTTTGATCACATGACCACGGGGATCCTGCAATAGTGGGAAAAGTGGTCATAAGGCACTTTTTTCAGTGTCATTGGAACTTCAAACAGTCACTAAGTGAATGGTTGTAAGTCAAGGACTACCTCTACAGGCAGATAATGAAACTGTAATAGTTCTATTAATTAGGTGTACTTTATCATCCAGGTAGAACAGTGCCAAAGGGAATCATGCTATTATCCCTGCTTTTGGTCACTAAATGAATGATCATAAATGGAGGACTACCTGTATTTGCCTTGGAGAATATGTGCTCTCCCAATTTCTGACTCTTACATATACATGCAGACTTTAAAACCTCCACTATTTGCAAAAGAAAATCTCTCATCATCTTCAAAATCCCCCTTGGCCTTGCTTTCCCTTCTATCATCTTGGGACAGGCGAAGCATTCAAAGGAGGTCACAAAGTATGCTGGAACAAAGGACCTATCCTTAAAGTTAGAGGGACAGTGCTTTCCAGACGTCTTTCTCTATGTTTGAACGTGCAGAGCCACTTTACAGGTGCTTCTGAAATCCCAACACAGTGTTTCCTGTATACATACAGATGGAAAAAAATGGAGACTGGGATGCCATTGTATAGAGCAGGGGTCCCCAACCCCCAGTCCGTGGACCGGCACCAGGCCGCGGCATGCCAGAAACCAGGCCGCATAAACAACCAAAGCCCCATCCGCGGGATGCAGGTAGCACACAAAACCACGCCCCCTCCGATCCACGGAAAAACCTTTCTCCATAGAACCGGTCCCTGGTGCCCAAAAGGTTGGGGGCCTCTGGTATAGAGCAGTGGTGGCGAACCTATGGCACAGGTGCCAGAGGCGGCACTCGGAGCCCTCTCTGTGGGCACACGTACCGTTGCCCCAGCCTCGCCTCCCCCCGTGACCCCCTCCTCTCCAGCAGCCCCCCTGAAGGAGAATCGCCCGAGCGTGGCCTACGCGGAGCAGCACAGCCAAGGAAATGGCAGCCAGGCAGTGTAGACAAGACACTGCCCTCACACCCCATTGTGCACAGTTGATGCTGCAGGGCGCAGGCAGAGGGCGTGACCGCCATAGCGCTGGGCTGCCTGGGCGATCTGCGGCGGGCCCTGGAGGCGGTGACTGGCCCTGCGGGTAGGCGGGGCGGGGGATGGGGTGGAGCTGGGGCAGGGCAGGGAGTGGAGCGGGGGCGGGACCAGTTTTGGGGCACTCAATCTCTAAAAGGTTCGCCATCACTGGTATAGAGTCTTCCAACAAAGATGCTTTAGACCTTCAAGGAATGATTCTTTCTGATGCTGATGTGTTTTGTGCATCACACCTCCTGAATGCATTGCAAAGCCCTAAAATCCACTTTCACAGGCAAATGAATTTGTATCTCTAATTGTTACTCATCCTATTTTACCACTAAATCTATCTATCTATCTTGCTCCTCTATTTGGAAACATGCATTAAACGTTTGTTTTGCCTTTGCTTTTATTTGGCATTATCTCAAAGCCTATTTTTTCTATCAAGTCTTTAGGACCACCATGTATTTCCCAATATTCTACTAAATTAAGAACTATATCTGTCTCTCTATTTTCACCTGTTCCACCTGTTAGTCACCTCTTCTTCCTCTTCAGCTCACTTTTGCCTATGATAGTAAACATCTAGAGTACAAGGCATTCTTTCATACACGGGGTATCATCGTCCTATCATTCAGCATTCCTTATAATTCGTATTTCAAGTCTATTTTAGTTCCCATTCTTGAAATACCTTGGTTTTAACAGGTTTAAATTGGTTTTAAAAATACACATTATAACAGCATATCTTTTCCCCATAAAACATGTTTAATCTTTGGTTCAACTCATAGATATTATTGAAAGGACAATTTAAAAAAAACACCAACCCCTCCTCGCTGACCATCTACGTGTATAGCCCGAATGTGATCTGCCAGATCTGGACTGGAGTTGAAGCAAGAATGGCACTGGTCCCAGCAGCAGTTATAAGCAATACTTTTTGCAGATGAAGTAGTCACTCCCTGTCCATTCATCATGACTGGAGTTGAACGTCCACTGGAAATTGTGCTGTCTACATCCATTATGGTACTGCTTATGCTGCAAGAAGAGGGGAAAATAATATATTTTTTTCAATAGAGGGACAATTTTGCCAAACGCATGGTTAAATACATTTATATTTTGTCCTGCCAGTTTGTTAAAGCGTTCAAAGCCACCAGACTAAAAACCAGGAGAACATAAATTCTAGTCCTGCTTTAGGCATGACTTGAGCCAGTTGCTCCCTCTGAGCCCTAGGAAGAAGGAAGTGGCAAATCACTTCCCAAAAAAAGTTGCCAAGAAAATTACATGGATTTCCAATGCACCCCTCCCAAAAGAGGCACAGAACGTTAATATTGCTGATACACTGTACAAAGTAAATATTTATGAATCAATTATACTGATGTTATGTTTAAATGAAGCAGCAATTTTCTCCTGAGGCCTTTAACTGGTCTGGAAGATATTATTTAAAATCTTAGGTGCCAATGAAACTGAACAATTCCTAAAGTAAGTAGAAAAGATACTATTACGGTATTATGCTTCATTCATTCCTAATTCAATGTACTCTATAAAAGCAGTGTTTAATTTACCTTTAAAAATTTACACTTTTATCAATTCACCAAAAACAACCAATTTTTCTCAGTAGCCTTTTACAATCCATCAAAAGATTGCAGAAGTGCATGTAGGAAAACCTTACCAAGCTTCTAACACAAGCATTTTATAGCTGGCCTGGTCTAGCATCTTAATCAGTCTCACTCAGGTATTAAATGATATACATACCGCTTTGAAGACCTAAAGGCAGAATAAAAGTAACAAATAAAACAGAGGACCTTACAACTCAGTGTAGAAAAAAAAAGCCAATGAAGCTACACAACACTCTCCAGGCACATGTAAAGTTGAGATAGCAATACAGGTGCTTCTGAATTAAAATGCTTCCAGCATTAGGCACACATAGGGGAGCGACAAGACACTCAGCAATGTTGGGAGAGTGAGGTTTTCTCTATCTTGATTTTATATTATTAAAAGATATGCCAAGGATCAAGGTTGGAGCCTCATTCAAGCAAAACAAGGATCCCAAAATAAGAAACCCCAATGGACTTTCATTCTTTGATGGAATACATTGCCTTCGTCAACAGAAGTGTAGATATATACTGGTAGTCTTTGCTTACTGACAGTAATTGGGCCTGAGAAATCCACTGCTAAGCAACAGGGTTGTAAAGTGCAATGTCACATGACTGTGCCAAGTTATGGAGGCAGGCAGTCCCAGTTGCCATCATTAGCCAAGCCGAATCACACATGGTTAGTGTCCACACTCACACAGTCACCTTTCATGACTTCCTGCTGGCTTCCCCACTGATTTTGCTTGTTAGAAGCTGACAGTGAAGGTTGCAAATAGCAACCATGTAATGGTGCAATGATGTAATTGTGAGGTGGTTATCAAGCACATGAATCATTATCATGTATCCAGGAACAGGGACACTGATGGCCACTGCTTTATGGACCGGTTATAAGTCTCTCTCGTTGAGCTTGAATGTAGCTTTGAATGGTTGCTAAATGAGGACTACTTTTAGCGCAGAGGAAAATCAACCGACTGGGTAAATATGTTGTGCCCAATTCCCCTGTACTTGCTATCCAGAGCTGGTTATTTATTTATGAAGCCCCTATAATGGAATGTCTAGAGACTAGTTACTCAAACTTTGTGTAGACTTGTCACGGAGAGTGGAAGATACTACCAGTATTTCCCATCTAAGCTGCTTCAACTTCCATTGATGGTGATTTCTCTTATTGTCCAGCTCACCCATGTAAAGCAGAATTTGGAACCTTGTCAGTAGGTCCAAAAGTTGTGGTACTCAAACCGTGCCCCTGAAACCATGAGAATTCCATGGAAATCTCCCTGTGTTTAACATGAGAGGTTCTATTCATATAGCATGTTATGTAGTTTTGCAATATTAACTGTAACATTTTGTTCAAATAACATGCATTACACAAAACATTTTCATTAATGGATTCTACACTGATTTTTCATACAGAAAGGGATTTCTCAAGTATCTCAAATTTGAAGACTACTGGCCTAAAGCAACATATTCTACATCATCTTTTTCTGACCAATCCTTTCATCTATCACAGTTACTGTTGATTTTAAATTGGAGAACAATGGCTCTTACATACCGCTTCTCAGTGCTTTACAGCCCTCTCTAAGTGGTTTACAGAGTCAGCATATTGCCTCCAACAATCTGGTCTTTATTTTACCGACCTCAGAAGGATGGAAGGTTGAGTCAACCTTGAGCAGTGAGAATTGAACTGCTAGTAGTCGGCAGAATTAGCCTGCAATACTGCATTCTAACCACTGTGCCACCACCGCTTTAGATTGCACTCTTTGTCTTCTACTGCATTTAATGATGTTAAAGACAGTATTGTCTATTTAATATGCAATGCCCAATTTTAAATGCCTATATATATATATAGCAAGTTTATACATATATAAACTTGCTATTCTAATTCTGGGGGAAAATATCATGAATTCTTGAAATATGTACACCACCTTTTTAGTAAAACTAAGTGAAATACAAAGTTGCTGTATTAATAATAATTTTTAGGTGTCTCAGTTTTATGAGATTTACTGTCTTTTGTAAAAATCAATTTTCCTTTAACATCACTTAAGCCCTTCTTTTAGCTCAGGGGTGTCAAACTGCCGGCCCACCCCAGCTCCGTCAATGCAAAAAAAGTCACGATATGGCGCAACACGTCACATGACGAGTTTGACACCCGTGTTTTAGCTGAACCTTTATGATGTTCCAATGTTTCTTTCTGAAACTTCAAAGAACACTACAGAAATCACAATCAAGTTTAACCATGTCAAGGTTTGAGTTGCACTTGATTTCTTACGGCTTCATGGAAATATCTGTGTGGTGTTCTTGCAACTATTTAGAATATTTTGCCACTGCCTCCTTCTCACACACATATGAGTATGTGGGGTGGGGAGTTCCAGTCTAGGCTATGGCCCTGGTATATTTCCTGGAGTTCTCACATCAAAGTACTAACCAGGGCCCAATGCTGGTATTACTTGATGGGGCTTTCCAATTTACAATCTTACAAATTATTCTTGGAATTTGTGCAGCACTTCTGAAGAACATTAGCCTCAGCCAAAATTTAGGCAATCACTTAAAGCAGTAAGCAGAAGCTAGATTCTCATCACTCTGGCAAAAAGTCCTGGGAGACCTTGGTGTGACTGTCAAGGTTTTCTAATTCTTAGCAATGAGAAGATCGTACACACAATGATATGATGCTACTGAAAGGAAGGACTAACGAGGAGAAAAGCTACTGCAACGTCCTTTCATTTCTGGTGTTCTGAAAGAACTGCCAGTCTGCAAATTCTCAAAGGCATTTAATTTTCCTTTACACCAAGCTCTGAATTCTATACTCTAGAAGCTTTATTTTTTTCTGTATAGAAGTTTACACTCTCTATTAACAGCTGCAGTGAGAAACATTCAGCCATAAAATATTTTACTATAACTTAAGCTGATGTGGAAGCAATAATGAAGTAAATAGCATTTGTCAGATCAGAGGCTCAGAACGTAGACAGATTTAACAGATTTCCAAACACACTTTTCTTTGATTAGGACATCAGTTCTAAATACCATACTGAACACATCTGAGACACATGTGTTCAGTGCAGTAATAAATCAGTTGCAAAGAAAAACATCGATGTCTTTTCAGAAAAAAATACAGTAGTTTTGAGCTAAAATTGCCACTTCACTTCTAGTCCCAAAAAAGATCCTTAGATTTATGTCAAGTTAGCCTTCCTGTTATATATTTCCTATTATATTCCATGCCAATGCAAAATTTCCCACCATTTCAGAAGCAAGCTGTAGCAGAGGCAAAATGCAAATAGAGCTCACCATTAGGAAGGTTGGGTTACCTATTATTCTCCAATTTTAGTGTTTCTCAAAATAAACTCAGACTAAATTGTTTTCATCATTAAGAAAAGCATCTGAATGTGGTCACTCAGTTAACAATTATAAGCCACAATGCCATCCGTAGTTAATCTGGATACCTGTTATTTATTAGATTTCTAGACTGTTTATGTTTATTTTAATTTTTGTCTACTGCTGAGAGCATGTAACTCTCAGCAGTAAGCAAAAATTAAAATAAACATAAAATGGCCCCACAACACAACACAAAAATTAAAATCAGCAACCTAATCAAGGCAATATAACATTCCTATGTTCTCTCAAACTAGTTGGGAAGAACGAGTTTGGAGGAACTTGGCCAGGATTGTATGCCTATCAACTAATCCATCTGCTAATGAACATTCTTGCTTACCAGATTAATCTTTGTGAATGCACCTCCCTCCCCCAAAAGCTCTGGTAAGGGCTGAGATGTACAATTATGTCAAGCTCAGAGCAAATTTCTGCATTCCAACTTCAGAACAAAAGTTGACTGTCTGAGTGGCAGCGTTTCAAGTTTTCCAGTCAAAAAAAGCAAACCCGAAATGTGCCATTTTGCTCGTGGAACTGGTCTTTTCAAGTGTTCTCAACTTGAAAAAAAATGTGTATGTTTTCCAAGAGATTTGTGTTGAAGCTGGAAACCCTCCGAGCTACTTCATGCTTTGTTCCAACAGAAGGTAGCTATCTTTATTATCACACGTGTTGTTGTGAATTCAGAATGTATTCACCTACTTCTTTTTTAGCAAAGGATAAATCTTTATGTAAAAATACATTTAATCGATTCATATCAAGAAAGCTATGTTCGAACTTCATCCACTATTCAGTTTACAACAAATGGCTAAAAAGATGAAAAATTCTATAAGCACTACATAATTATTAATTGTATCTTCTCACCTTATAAAGTATCTTATAAGCTAGCATGAGTCTATTTCCATTTAAACATGCAAGTGCTGGTGTCCCCATGTCCACTGTCTTTCTTGATCCCCGTTTTCCTTTTTCTTAATACGTCTTTATCTAAAATTGGAAACTTCCAGGTAGAGTTTCCAACAGTTTTAGGTTTGTGTTTTTGTATTGTGCAGTGTTTGCTTTAGAAATAAGACTATTGCAACTATTTTA